TTTCCCCGTAAATTCCTTCCTAATGTGTTAGAAACCAGACTGACTTATTTTTACCATTCAATTCAGGAGAGCCAAAAATGATTTTCTGCAGTTGAATGTACTAATGAAAAGAAACAAGCTTCTTGGAAAAATACTAATATATCGCAGCAGGAGCTAGTGTCTCACTTCCATTGAGAAACCTGGATAGCTCAACTGATTTTAGCCAGATGCCTTTTAATGGACAATTTCAATGTCTTTTTCTCTTTCAAATGGAGCATCCGGGTAACAACAGAATTTGGCTCTCCCCCCCCCCTTTTCCCAACTTTTAAAATGCATCTGCCTAAAATAAGGCCACTTTTGGTATCAGTAATAAGGGTTTTTTTTAATTTATTTCATCTAATTTGCTTTCAGGGAAATGTTAACTGCTATGCCCATCTGGATTCTATTTCCCATTATTAGTTGTTCTATCTTTTTTTTCTCCTGTAGGAAGAAATATCTTCAATTGTCAATGTAAGATTAAAACATTCTTTGTTATTTTTATGTTTACCTGCTTACATGAAAATAAATACCTGAACTTTTGAATTCAGTGATTTTGACTGAATAGACAAGTTTAGAATGCCATTGCAAACTACGGTAACATTAAAATTGCACCAGCAAATATCATCTTAAAGGTATAGCTATGAAAATAAAAGCAAATTGAAATGAAAATGAAATCCAATTCAGATTAACAAATCAAAGAATCCATATACAGAACCAGGCTCCTCCAGTCACAAATACATAGAACTATCTGTATGTATTAGTAGCAAATAGCAGCCTAATTAGGCCAACAAGTAATGATCTTTCGAATAAAAGCATTAGGGCATTTTCCTGTTAAGGAGTTTGAATTTCTTTCTCATTGACACCATGGCTTCTTCCCTCTCCTGTATTGTTGTATAGAACTGAACTGAATTAATATTATTTCCAGAATGCATAGTTGAATGGAGATTGGCAGGGGAACTGAGGTCTCAATGCATGGAGGGTGCCATGTTGAGAAATGCTGTTTTTTATTGTGGGCTGCTTGAGACTCAGCATTTGGAATAGTTTATTGCCCTATTATTAGACCTCATCAGTGGTGGGATTCAAATATATGAACAACCAGTTCTCTGTGTGGATGCCACTTCTGGAAGTCCATTCTGGGCCTGGGCAACAAAAAATTAGCTACCGGTTCTGCTGAAGTAGTGCGAACCAGCTGAATCCCACCACTGGACCTCATCATGAGCAAGCATATTGATTGGAAACATTGAGCATACATAGTACTGTAGAGCTTCTTTTTGGCTCAGATAATACAGATAGATCCATTAGATTAAGGTGTAGTTGCCCCAGTAAGTATAAAGCAGCCTGGAAGATAATCATCTTTTAATTAAAAAAAAAAAGAATTGGATTTGTTTGATGATCACTTTATAAATGTTCTTGTTCCTAAAGTGCTTCTCTGAGCTTACTGGCATTATTATAACTTGGCTAAAAAAAATTGGGATATGTAAAGAGGAGGAAGAACTATCTCAAAGGAAAGATTAGGTTGTGTTTTTATGGGGAACCATTTGGGATTTTAGGACATGTACTGAGCATTTTTATGAAATAGTTACCAGAACAGTTACGCCTATCATATTGCTTGATCATTCTTGATTCTGAGAAAAAAATATTTTCATATGCAGCCTATTGTTGTCACTGCTGCTCTAACCAAAAAAAAGGAGGGGGAGAGGAAGAGTTAAAAAAAATCAGAGTGTAGCTTAAATCTCTCTCAGATAATTTTAATGTATTTATAACTCGACAAAGCCAGTGGAAACATTGCAGCTTCATTCACAATTGTTAAAAAGCCATACAGAAAACATACTGTGCTGAACAAGTAGGCTGTGCTCCTGTGGTGTCAGTCCGAATTCCAAGGAAATGAACCAAGAATTTAATCTGGATACTATTAAGAAATTCTAGCTTTTTTGATCACAGTCCAGATCTTGGAAATGCTTTTGATTTTCCTTTCTATATATACATAAATCAGCTTTCCAATATATCTCATTCCTGTAAGCCATGCTGTTTTATCTCAAGAGCCACTGTTTTCTGGGCCAGGGGTAATGTTTTTTACCTCTATTTCTTCATGTATATTTTGCCGGGGGGGTGTTGGGGGAAGTTCATCAATACATCCTTCTTAAATTGTACACTTCCCTGTTTGTCATTCATAAGTAATGTGTGAATAATGCTGACATAAAAATGTTGGAACATTTTCACCAAATTATAAGAGCTGAAATACAGATCGGAATAGAGTAAAAGTCTACTCTTTATCATGAGTAAAAAAAAGGCAGTCCCGTTATACTGCTAGGGAGTAACCTTTTTTGCAGTTAATGATGCAAAGTAATAAGTTGTGTTAGGAAAATGAGTAGCCATCACAGCCACTTTTGTTACTTATAAAAGAGTTTTGAGAGGACTTGTTATACAGAATTTTTAAAAACATAATAATATAGAGGAGAATTTGGCATGAATTTCTCATTCTCCCTTTGAACTGTGAAGCTCTACTTTATCCATTCCTTTTCTAACCTCACGTTTCTTTTGTCTCTTCTGTGTTTCTGTCATATTTGTTAAATATTATTTGAGTTAAGAGTTACAAGAGGGGAAGGAATGTTCCGCTAGTGGCCTTGATTGGGAAACTGTTCTGTATTATCATTGGCTAAACAAAAATGTCAGGCAAAAATTAGGTTTGCATGTATGCACAAACACACACGAAATGTAATATTGCCAGCCTTAGTGTTGGAACAGAGGCCAAAGGATCTCATGGACGCCTGTTCTATGTCAAGCATAAACAAATACTGGAAACAGTTAAATTTATGATAACCCTCCTAAAAAAGACAATCAGCAACAATGGGGAATTGAGAATTAGAAAAGCCGAGAGTTGGAAAAATTGTAGTCTAACTTAAATTTTATTTGTCATTTTAATATTTATTTAAACTATGCATCTTACCTGTTGGGCAGTACAGGCTCTTAATTTATGTTCTTCAAGCTCTTTTGCATTTCATATTTCAAGTTCTGATTATTTAGTGATTTATTCAATTTTTATCCTGCTATTATGTTTTATATCACTTTTGGCTTTCTTTTCTTTCACTCAAAAATACATATTTCAATGCTGCTTCCTATCATAATTAACCAAGCAAGATCATAATATCTAATACAATGTCATAGAAATATGTTAAATAAATAATTGCTAAATCTGCCCTCCAGAAAGCTCGGTCTCTATCAGCAGCCAGTTTTTGGTTAAAGATTTTACTCTAGTACTCTTTTTATCAAATATTCCCACAGTTGGTTTTTTTATAAAAGTTCCAGAATAGAATTAAAGAAAACTAGTGTATTTGGCCATTAAACTTGCATAGTGTCATGCCAAGCAGTAGTGAAAGCCAGCATTTGCTCAACACAGCCAGATTAATTTGATGCAGGGAGGGAAGAATGCAATTGCAAGTAGAACAGCAAATCTCCCAAACATATTTTGTCTACCTGTGTACTTTGAAAGTATCTTGAAGGCACCTTGAAGGCATGAAGGAACTGAAAATATTTAGACCTAAGAAAAACTGACAGAGAGGAAATAGGATAGCACCCTTTAAATATCTGAAAGAATGTCACAGAGGAAAAAAAATTGTCTGTCTTTTCCAAATTCAGGATAAGAAAGAAAAGAGTTATGTTACAGGAAGGCAGAGCCTATAAATCTACTTACTATTAAACATGTAATAGTAAGAGCAATGCAACAGTGGAAGGAATAAGCAGTTAAGGATGGACTCAGGGATCGCTGGTTGTGTTAAAATGGGGCTCGATAGCCAGATGCTTTACTTTTCATTCACACATTGAACAGGGGTTGGACTTAATGCCAGAATGGTTCCTTCAGACTCTGTGATTCTACTGTACATGTTATCTTATTCCTTCTTAAAACTTACTTCATTTTTATTGCTGATTTTTTTATGATACATATTCTCTTCTAATCTCACAATCTCTATTATTTGGCTACAATATTTCTCTAAGGTTTTTTTTATGACACATTCAAATTGGGTAAACGTCTAGTCACTAAGATTCCATATTTCATCTTTTAAAGTGATGGCAAGGAACCATGCTTTATTTTTATCATTATTGTATTATTATAATACATCTCAAACAAACAGGAATTTTTTGGTTGTGATTGTAACTGCCAAATCCTAGAAAAGTCTTTTAAATGCTGTATATGCAAGGAAATATGGACAAAATGAAACCAATAAGAAACAAAAAGAAATTTAGCTCAAAAATGCAAAAAAATAAAATGAATAATTATATAAAAACAATGTTAAAGAAAAGCTCCAAAGGGAGTAAAAAAACAAACAAACTCAGACCAATCCAGTAGCAGAGGAGAGAAAAAATATGGCTTGCTGGATCACAGAGTTAGAGTGAAAGAATAACATAGGTCCAGGTTTTTTTAGCCTAATGCCAGATTTATTTCTTGTTTGTTTTAACAAGCATTTATTTCATGTTAAAAGCAGAGCATGACGACATGATCCCTATGTCAAACAAGAGTTAAATTAATGATTGTAGCAGAAAGCTTTGACCATCAGAAGGCAATGCATTCATCAGTCACAGTCTATATACTGTGTAACTTACTGTCAGTCTAACATGCTACAAAAAATACACAAATCACAAAGGAAAAAAAGACTTTTTCCATCTTCTTTATAACTCCGGTCACAATATTTAAAGTTTTCTTTCAATACCATAAATTCAACCCCTCAAATATTGAAAATGTGAGCTCGCTGACCTTGAAACCATCATGTATAGCAATGGATCCCAATTTTTTAAAAAAAGTGTGATTTTCAGTTAAGCAAATCCTCTTCAGATGTTTGTGACTTTGGTTTTAAGTTTATATACACATTTGGTTACTATTTTGCCTGTAACTTAGAATCATCCAACAATATTATCCAGATACATATTGGCACTTCCTAGCCCTCCATTATGGTAATACATCTAATTATGCATCTTCTTGCTAACAGGTATTTGTGTTCTGCCATGGCCTGATGCAGCTGTCTCAACTCCTCTACAGTGCTTACTTTAAGAGTAGCTTGACTACCATCGAGAAGCGCTTTGGTCTCTCCAGTTTGTCCTCTGGCTTTATCTCCAGTTTACATGAGGTAATTGTATCAACTGAGCTGCTTCAGGATGAAGCTGTTGTAGGGTTACTCCAGCTGAACTTCCAAAAAGTGATGGAAATATGGTTATACCAGTATCTACTGAATTACATTGGATTAATAGGCTACAGATAGGCTATACAAATTGTTTAATACAGATGAATGATGATGAATGAATGAATCTGAGAATATAAAAATGAGGCATAGTGAGTACGGTATGTGTCGCATGTTATCTGTCTCTACACATACCATGTGTCTAAGATACCATGTGTTTTCTATGGCATCTAAATTAAAAATAAACAGTGGTAAGTAGAATTACAAAAAATTGCCTATCTGTGTGTACATGTGCACTGGGTAGCATACATGCACTGCATTCTGGGTAATGCATCCAGGACGGGGGCCTTAGGTAATTTCTGTGTCAGTGAATTATAGTATACTGTAGCAACATCCAATCACCTATGACATGAAATTGGTGTAGCAATGGCTGGATGACTCTGGTAACTTTTAAGATGTGTGGACTTCAACTCCCTGAATTCCACAGCAAGCCTGAAGTTAAGTCCACACATCTTAAAGATGCTAAGTTTTGAAAAATAGAGGTCTGGAATATATTATAAATTATTAATATGGAAATGATCTTAAAATGGAGGAATCAGCAGCATTGAGGCCTTACCTCTAAACAGATGTATTTGGAGATTTGGGGGGTTTTTTGGAATATTTTTTTATTGCAACATCAAACCAGATTTGGTCCATTTTTAAATATATATATATTACTGGGCTTTTGCTGATCTTTCTTGTCATATCAAATTTGGTTCCATTCTGTTTGATTTTCAGAGAGATAATTTGCTGATGGAAGGCATCCTGAGCCCTTTACAGAATTTCTTTCCCACATTTGGGTAGGTTGGAAAGAATAAAAAGGAGAGCAGAATCACTGATTAGAAATTAAGATAAGAATGTTGCATAGTTCCATAAGGAAAAAGAATTGCCAAATCTCCTATTAATCAAAAACATAAAAGCAGCTAAACTTTTATCAGCACCTCTCATTAGATATTGTAATAGGAAAAATGTCCATTTAAATAAGGAACCAAAACACCTGGAGATAAATGCAACAAAATATCTTTTAATGGCATGCACAACTGCAACAATCATTCCTTGCCAGTGGAATGCAGAAAAGCTCTGAAATTTCACAGGTTATATACACTCTGAAATTATACCTAAGAATTATAAAAGGCAATGTAAACAACAGCATGTTCTTTACACCCAGAATGTAGCATCTGATAAATACATGAGATGATCTTACTATGGGCTGATCAGGCACCATTAAGTTCTACTTTTCTAAGATGTCTCCAAACATGCTGTTCACACTGATATCAGCAACTTATAAATAATATATTTTATTGTACTCATGTATTGACTCTTTTCACACCAAGAAAAGACTACAATCTGGTTTTTAACTATCTGTCTCCTGCCCCTCCAGGGTCATCAGATGGTTTCAGTTTGCCTGCTCCTTCAGCTGTAGAATTTAAGATCCCTCACAGCGATCATATTTATAAGGCTAAAAATATTATTTGCTCCCCATAATATGTTTCACATTCCATTATCCAGATTATTTTAGAGTAAATCAGTCATTCTGACGTCCATCTTCATTAACCTCCTCCAGATTAAGGGTGCAAATTTGTGCCTTCCAGATGCTTCAGATTATAGTTCCCATAATTCCTTCAGTTGACCATAGTGGCTGGAGCTGATGGGAATTAAAATTTAAGGAGGCTGTAGGCTTTTATTCCTGATAATTATAATAATATCCATGCATTTCTTTCAGATTGCTCAATTACACATGATAGGCAAAATGCCAGAGTTAGAATCTTTGAACTTCCCCTCAACTCATTTTTTAACCTATTTTATTCAATATTCCAAATTGTTGTTTCTAGAGATGTTTCTCTTTCCCACATTTGGGTAGGTTGGAAAGAATAATCTCTTTTGAGCAGCAGATTTAAGATTTAAGTGGCAATAAATCTCTCCTAAGATGCAAAGTGAGGACAAACATTGTCTTTACCTTTCATTGTGGTGAATGTTAAAATATTTCTATCAACTTCACCTGAAGAAGGCCTAAAGTTCAATTTTTAGCATCATAAGATAGACATTAGAGAGCCACTACCAGTCAGCATGATATCTTGTAGTTGGTATGTTAGGTGTATTTGAGTGTGTCTCTGCAAATTTGAGTCCATGTCATTTGCTTTTCTAAGGAATAGGTGCTTTCTATGAGGATAGTTTGAAAGTACTGAAACTGGGCTTGTATATTGTAGTGCATCCAAACACTGTATATGTAGAAGTGAATACGATTAAGACCAGCTGATATATGTAAAGACTGGATTCACACATATTTTGTGTTGTTTGGATTAGTCATATGAGCCCAACTGTGATTTATTCTGTAAACTATAAAATCTATGGAGATTCTTAGTCATCCAGGTCATGGTTGTCCCAAATATGCTTTTTCAAGAGGCAACTGGACTTTCTTGTTTTTCTTTGAAAACGTTTCACTTCTCATCCAGGAAGTTTCTTCAGAAGCGAAATGTCTTCAGAGAAAAGCAGGAAAGTCCAGTTGCCTCTTGAAAACGCATCTTTGGTATAAAATATGTAGAAATTCAACAAAATGTCTGCAGATGCAGTTCTAAAAAATCACTAAAAATGTTTTGCAATTAATATGTTACAAACATGAAAACTCTTTGTCTCAAGCTGAACAGCCTCCAGATGTGTGGACTACAATTCCTAGAATTTTCAGCAAAGGCCCTCCTGGCAAGAAATTTTAGGAGTTGGTCCACATACCTAGAGGACACCCAAAGGAAAGCTGTTCCAACAGAACTCCAAATGCATTGCCTCATTTACGGTAGGAAACACAGGAACTTCTTAAAGATTTTTTTATAATAAAAAGATCTGGTCTTATTCTTGAGGTTACCATCAAGTCTGCTTTGTGATGTTCTTCCCTGAAAATTTCTTCATGGTCACATTTATTCCAGCCCACAAACAGCTATCATTATTGTCCTGCCAAGTACATATGTTTTTGCTTGGAACTATTTTTCATGCTTTTTCTACAAGCTTCCCTGCCTGATCACCGGGATTGTAGGTTTTCTCAATTATATGTTGGAATGACTCCAACAGCTGGGCCAAAAAAATTGATTCTAATGTACAGATGGAACAATGGCAAAATATCTTATGGTTTTTATTAAAAAAAATCTTTTAGTATATGTCAACAGAGAAATTGTCCATAATATTTAAACTTCAAATTTATGTTAGAAATGTGAATAAAAAGGGACATTTTATCATCTCTGGTGGATGTGTCAAAAGTTAGAAAATTCTGAATTCAAATACATTCACTAATTAAGAAGATTTTAAAGATTAATATACAATTGAAACAAGAAGGGTTTCTTTTGGGATTGATGGACAAACAGTTGGAAAAAAGTTATGGAACTTGTTTTTATATATGATAACTGCTGCATGATTATTATATGCACAAATATGGAATGATTTTGTACTATCCACAAATGAAGGAATGATTGTTGATGATGGAACTTGCTGAGACGGCTAAATTGACTTCTTTGATCAGAGAAAAGATAACATCTACATTTATTGCTGACTGAAGCCCCTTATAGACTGTTTGCATGAAACAGAAAATAATGAACTTATGATTTATGCTTTTGAAGATTAGATTATAGAAAGAAGAGAGTTGTGTTGTAGTAATAGAATACCACATAAATCTGTATTGAACTTATAACTGCTGTAAAGGTCAGAAGCTAATTTTTTGCATCTTTTTTCTTTCTTTCTTTTTAATTTTTTTCCCCTTTCTTGCACTTTTAGCTTTCTCTTTGATTTCTAACTTCTTTTCTCTTTTCCACTTTATATTAGTTTGTATTAGTTTTACATCTCTTTAAAAAATCTTTTATAAAATTGTATATTGAAAATAATGATTAAAAACAAGAAAGGATTACTATGTGTGTGTGTATATATTCGTATATACTGTATGAGTGTGTGCATGTATATGTGTGTGTGTGTGTGTACACACACACACACACATTCATTCACAATTACATAATCTTTTCTAGTTCTAAGACAGAAAACAAGCAAACGAAGGAGGAAAAGAAGAAATCCAGATGATCCTCCTCATCTTGTGAAATTATTAACTTGTGTCCTTTGGGATCTCCTAACACATCTGTATATTTTTGTCTCTCCACAGATTGGCAATGTTATCCTCATCATCTTTGTTAGCTACTTTGGGAGTCGAGTTCATCGACCTCGGATCATTGGCCTGGGAGGCTTGCTGTTGGCACTGGGGGCCTTCCTTTTGACTCTTCCACATTTCCTTTCTGGTCGATATGAATATTCTTCAGCACAACTCTGTATGTAACTTTCTAGAACTCTTTTCTTCTCCAAGCCCTCTGTAGATATTTGAAAGTTTAGTGGAGCTCCCTGCCTTCTTCTTCTTTTTTGCTTTCTTTTCTACCTTCAGTTTAAAAGCATCCCCAAATTCTTGATTTGTTCTTGTTAAATCCTGTGTGATAGGTATGTGATTCTCTCTAGCAAGTGAGTCTGGAGGGTTAGTTACTTGTTAAAATAACTTGGCCTTTGACCATCTTAACTTCCAACATTCCAACAAGCTATGTGCAGCCTCTATGTAATGACTTGTCTACTCTGAGGATGCCAAGCTGGATCAGGACCAGGTGAATTTGAGGCAGTGCAAGTTTGCTTTTGTGGGTGTCATTGATTATTTTTCTATATATTGAATTACTGCTCTCAAAGTATCAAGATTCTTTGATGCTACTAAAATGAGTAGAAACCATCCGCAGATAGAGAAGTAATAATAATCAGAATATTGCTGTATAGTACAAGACTTTTCTGTGGTCAAAGTCCTATAAAAAGAGAATTTTCAATCTTTATATGATATAGTACTTTATCTGTATTAAGGAAAAAACAACAGAAAAAAACAAAACAAAAAAGGGGAAAGGAACAGGGGAAAGGAAATAAACATACGTAGGTACATACGTAGCAGTATAATCTCTTATTCATCTATGCTATTTATCTTTTTTAAACTTAATGCTATTATTGCTAATATATAAACTTTACAATGAGATGAAGATTGAAGTGAAAATTCAAGATAAGATTTAATATGATTGGAAAAAAACAAAAATTAAAAGAGAAAAAATGTGTCTAAGAAAAAAATTGATACTCCTTTTTTTTCTCTACTTTAATATTGTTATACTGCAGTATGTTTCAAACTTCTGTATTATTGTTCATTGTATTCTATTTAGACCTAAGAGGAAACTATTGATTTATACATTGATTTGTTATATAGTCAGCTTGGCTTCCGGCATTTCCCACATTTTCTTTTAATATCAGGCAGAAACAAAGAGCCTTATCTACTCTAGTCAAAAGGAGTTCAACATCTGGTTGGCAGGAGCAGTTGTTTCTAGTGACATCAGCTGGACTTGATTGCTCGGTTGCCAAGGATTTGGATTAAAATTCTGAATTTGTAAACAATATGCTATTCATCAAAAAGCAATGTAGGATAGTGGGTAAGAAAATTAATTTAGGAAGCACTGGCAGGTACATTTGGCTCCTTCTAAACCTTCTAATCATACATATAATCCTGTAATAGTAACTTTTAATTCTGCAGTCATGATATTTATCTATAAAGTATCCAGCAAGAATACAGAAAAACATTCTCATTTGTTTTTGGAAGAGGAAATCTGAATATACACAGTGCACATAAGAATAACATCTGCTATACGGGCCGCAGTCAATATGTGTATAATGATGTGTTGGAGTTGTTTTTCCATCTTTAAATTTATTATGCCCAAAAGAAATATTTCTGGTTTGAAATCCATTTGTATCTCAGTTATCTCCTGTAATATATGAACCAGCAGTGAAAATACAGAAATAACAACCTACAATGTAGAAAAACTAAACTCTCTCTCTCTCTCTCTCTCTCTCTCTCTCTCTCTCTCTCTCTCTCTCTCTCTCTCTCTCTCTCTCTCTCTCTCTCTCTCTCTCTCTCTCTCTCTCTCTCTCTCTCTCCCTCTCTCTCTCTCTCTCTCTCTCTCTCTCTCTCTCCCTCCCTCCCTCCCTCCCTCCCTCCCTCTCTCCTTTTACTCCCTTCACCCTTAGAACCGAGGTTCCAAACATCTTTCTGAACATATCCCTATAACAATGTTATCATATCTTGACAGAAAAGTTGAGGCCAGGTACTAATTAAACTAAGGAAGTTTATAGGTGTGGCAACTCTGGTTGCCAGTGGCCTTCCGGGTGCGCTTTAAGGTGTTAGTTACCACCTTTAAAGCGCTTCATGGCATAGGACCCGGTTATCTCCGAGACCGCCTTCTGCCGCAGATTCCCTCCCATAGACCGGTACGCTCCCACAGAGTGGGTCTCCTCAGGGTGCCGTCGGCCAAGCAATGTCGGCTGGTGACCCCCAGGGGGAGGNATTCGGACGATTCCGGATCTCCTTACCTTCCGTCGCGCCCTCAAGACATGGCTTTTTCAGCAAGCGGACCTGGCCTAGGGAGGATTTTATACTGGGTTCATTTTAAGGAATTCGAAATAACACAACTTTAAAATTTGGTTTAATTCGGTTTTACAGGGGGGGATTGTATATATGCCTTTGTTTTAAATATGTTGTGAGCGCCCTGAGTCCCGTCGGGAGAAGGGCGGGATATAAATTAAATTAAATAAATAAATTAAATAAATAAATAAATAAACTCTCCACCAATCCAGGAATGAGATCATTAAGCAAATTTAAGGATATAATTCACTTGTCATGTCTAGCTTGATGTTGCTAGTAGATCTCTGAGATTATAAGAATTGCAGTCGTTACCACCCATGATGCTGCTGTTACAAAGGATGATTCTAGATGGATGTTAGCCAGCATAAGGTGCTTCAGGTGCTCCTGAGACTTTTTCAGCTTTCTCCCCCTCCCCCCCTCAAAAATGTTTACTTTCTACTTGTGAGGCCTTTAGATCCCAAATAGAGTTATTGTACCCCCCAGCCTCTATTGTTAAATAATTCTTTGTTCATCTGGACTCTACCTATGCATACCAATAACAATGGGAAATATGGCTTGTGTTACTTCCTCAATCCTCTTTTTTTTTTCCTGGAGCATTGCAAGTGATTATGTATGGATAACCTACTGCAGGTTGATTCTCAAGTTCGCTGTTTGCCCATTTTTATATATACAGTAGTAATTTTCTTTTTCAAACAAAAATGCTAAAACAAGATTTAATATAAGAACTTAGTATAATAAAGAGTTAATTCCCAGTGTGTTCCTCTGAAATTATTGTTGATTTTGTTCTAGATAACCAAAGCAGCCAGTCCAGATTAGAGCTCTGTCAAGGGGGATTTAAGTGTTTGAATGCCACTGTGAACATCCAGGCAGAGGCCAGTATCATGTGGGGATTAATGATACTTGCCCAACTCTTGGCTGGAATTGGAACAGTCCCCATCCAACCTTTTGGAATTTCCTATGTGGATGACTTTGCTGAGCCAAACAATTCTCCTTTATACATAGGTAAATATTTGATTGAAAGTTGTATTGTTGTAAAATCCTTATTGTCTGGTTTGTATTGCTTTAATATCAGTAAAGTGTTACTGATGTATCACTGATGTAGAAGAACTGTTTCTGATGTAACATAAGTCTGGGACTTAATCTTATAATAAAAATTGCTGTTCAGAAAGGACATGAAATCCATATTCAGTTGTGGGAACTATTGACAACATGATGACAGACTTAAGGTCTGTTCCTGTAGGTAATGGCAGCTTTTGCCTCATGAAGTTCTCTTATAAAAAGAATTTTAAGCAGTAAACTTAGAGGTTTCCTGCCATAATATATGTGGCCATTTCAGTGGTAGGATTCAAATATGTGAATAAATGGTTTTCTATGTGGATGCCGCTTCCGGAAGTCCATTCTGGGCCTGGGCAACAAAAAATTAGCTACCAGTTCTGCCGAAGTGGTACGAACTGGCTGAATCCCACCACTGGGCCATTGACATTTCGTATGGTAAGGTTTTTGCAGTTTCACTACACACTTGTTCCTACAGAGCTGGTGTTTTGTTCCTTTACCGGTAACCAGGGCTTTTTTTCTCATAGAACGCCCAGAACGGAGTTCCGGCACCTTTTTTGGATGGAACCTTGTAGGGGTAGGCAAGGCAGGTTGTATGACATGTGTGAGTTCCGGCACTTTTTTTTTTTTTTATAGAAAAAAAGCATTGCCGGTAACAGTTTTCTGGCAATTGCCAGATACCAACTCACCGTGGCATATCCAGCAATTGCAACATTATATGCTGTATTGTAGCACCAGTGCTGCTACCTTATTAAAATAACTGGCTATCCTATAAGATGAAGCAGGTTTCCCATCTGTCTTAAGCTCCTGGGTTCTCTTACTAGATGCAACTTCTGGTAAGCTTATGCAGGAAAAGAAAGGAAGGGTAGAAACCAGCATCCACAATGCTGACCTACATGCATAAGGACATGTTGTACAAATGCTCAGACACCAGTCAGACTCTAAATGCTCTTAAGCAATTTTACCACAGGTTTTAATTTAGTATTTGTTAATTGAAACAAGGCATTTGTTGTTTGATTCAGTTTGAGGAGGCTTGTTTTTTTTGTTTTTTTTTACAAGAGGCTTTTCCTCCTCTAAAAAAAAAACTTACTTTCAGTCTTATTTAAAAATTGGATTTAAAAATGGGATAGATACAATAGGTGTGGATGAAAACTAATAAAATCAGTTATATCCTGGTTTTGTTTCTATGATTGTTTGGTCATCTATATGTCTGTCTGTCTGTCTGTCTGTCTGTCTGTCTGTCTATTATCTCATCTTTTTTAGTTTTGGTTGCCAGTCCTTATGCTAGGAGAAAACAATATCAGCATAACATTTGCTGTTCCCACTGGTGATCCCTATCCTGCCAGAAACACATCATTTTCCCATTAAATATGCAGACCCAGTGGGAAGTCATCACCAATCACTTTCTTAGAAAGCAAGTTTTTAACAGAGGCTAGACCAGCATGTTTAGCTGTCTGCCAAAACACTCTGGGTTATTTTTACAAGTATTTGGCCTATATATGTTCACAGAAAGACCAACTGACAGTCAAGTTACTTTTAGATACAGGCTTAACGATGTAGTGCAGTAAGTCTTAATTATACAATTTGTTTTACAATAGTACTTTACACAGTTAGTTTGTAGTGCAAATAAAAGTCCTTGCTTTAGATATTCAGATCAAACTTCATTACAGTCTTGGAAGAATTAAGACCAGTGAATTGTAATTGAAGAAACGTATTCTGCACAATGTACTCCACTTTTTCATTTTTTCTTTTCAGCAATCTTATTTTCCATCTCAGTGTTTGGTCCAGCTTTTGGCTACCTTCTCGGCTCTGCAGCATTGAGGATTTTTGTAGATTTTGGACGGGTTAACCTGAGTAAGTGTTCGGTCTAATTTAGGGAAGCCATGGGTTCTCACACATAAGCTTTCAATATTCAGAGACTTGAAAATTAAACTACAATCACATAGAATATGTTCCTGTCTCCATATGCCACTTGCAGGCAGATTTTTGAGACACTGCAGGGTGGAAGTATACAGCCTTCCTCAATTAGAGGTACTGTGAAATTCTGCAGTTCTTTGTTCTTGAAGCAAAAAGCCATTTATGCCTTCTTATGGACAGATGTTCAGAAACAGTAGGAAGTATGCAGATATGTTTATTAAAATATTATTCTAATATGAATATTATCAAATTTGGAAGGGGATAATTTAGTTGTTCACATAGTGAAGTCAGTTGGATATGCATATATAAGCTACTCCGGCTTGAATAATGCTTTGAATGAGGTATTATCATGTAATGTGTTGCCAAGAACTCAGATCAAATTTACTGAAACCAATTGTCAAGATGGATCTCTTGAACTGAGAGATCGGCTTCCACCTTTTCTTGTCCAATTCTCCATAGGAAAGAATCAGGCAAGAAAGGCAGGAGCCCCCAGTGGCTTAACAGTCAGAGGAAGAAACTTAGAAAGGACCCACCCTAATTGGTCAGGCAGTTAAAAGTAGCAGAAAAAAGTTGTGATGTCAGCCTTTTCAGGTAAATCAGACAGGAACTATAACTAGATAAAAAGGCTAATAGAATTAACTAATTCTGCTAATAATAAAGCTAACGGAATCTTTTAAATCTGAAAGTACAGACTTCAGCCACTATACTGGTACATTTATAAATGCGTGGGGTACACACAGTTCTTTCTAGCAGCCCAGAGATTTTCTTTCTCATACGCATGCCAAAGACATCCCAGGCAGACTGGAATTTGAGAAGGATTGCGGACATCTTGTCCTACATTAAGCAAATAAATATGCTGAGAGTGGGGAGTGGCAATGAGTTTCTTCTCATTAGTTGCCTCTTGATTATTTCACCCAATCTTGAGTGGGATAGTCACATCCAGGAAAACTAAACCATTGTTTAAATGGGGTGTAGGCTCTTCTTTTCTGCATGCTTTTAATGCTGAAGGACAGGAAATCTGGGCAGAGCTGGAAAAGTCTGAAGATTGCTATTTATTCCTTCCTGCTCATTAACAATGTGGAGCGACACTTTCTATGCCAGCTTCAGTGATCAGCTGACTGTTTGAAGCAAGACCTCCTGCTGGGAGGATGTCCTGTCTCAAAATACAGTGATTTGAGGTCTCTTCCCTAAGATTGCAGGACAGTAGAGACTCCAAATGTTGGCCTTATTAAGACAGCTGCTCTACTGAGATTCTTTTCAGGGAAAGGACAGTTAATATTTCCAGGTACATTGACTATTTATGTTGTTGACTAATCAGTTTAAAAAACCATCAGGCGTCTAGAAAAAAAATTGGAATACAATGGCTTCTATAATAATGCTGCAATTCCACAAATGAATCAGACATGTCACATCGCCTCCCTCCTTCAGCCATAAACCGTTAAAAGTCTTTACTTTAAACAAATGTCTTTCACCACATGATACTACTAAGTTTCCACAATTTTCTGCCTCACCAGAAGTTCATATTTGGTGCCCAGTTCTATAGATAGGTTTTCTTTCAGTTTTATGCCTCTTTATTCACGATTCCATTAGAGGCTGTTTCTTCTAAGAAATTGTCATTAGATAATATTTCCTGTCAATTATTTTAAAGCAGTTTTTCCTTAAAAATTCTGAACCACTTCTTCAACCCAATTTAATGAAAGTATGCTAAATAATGTGTATTTATTTCATTTCAGTCACAGACCAGCATAAAACTAACAACATAACCTATAAAATTACAATCAGTATTACCACCAATAAACTAAGTGCTATAGATAACTAAGATAAAAACTATAAAAAGACATAAGGATTTGTAAAACACTACTAGAATGTAAAGCTATGCTAACTTACATTAAGACTAATACTTGCTGAAGCCATGCTAGGGCTTGTTGGAATTATGACAATTATCCAACCCACTAAACAAAGAAATATTGTTAGGGTTAGGATTACTGAGTAATAGATAATTGTGGTTGACCATAACTTTAAAGAAGGGGGAATGTAAACAGGACCACAGATCAAACGTGACAGCATTGCTGGCTTTTTTTTTTTTTTTTAAGAAATCCTGAGATGGATTGGTCTCTAAGAAAATAGATTCTAACAATAGAAATAATTAGAATTTCAAGGCATTTGGCCACTGAGGAAGAAGGTTCATATTTTAAGTATTGGCAGAATTGTAATGTAATTTCTTGGTACAGCATACATATTACTTAGTGCAGATTTCTCCAATCTGATACCTTCCAGCTAAAATGGGATTGCAATTCTCAAGGTGGCTATGGATCATGCTTCCTGAGAATTTGGGGATTGCAGATCCAGTACATTTGAAAAATGCCAGGTTGAGAGTCTGGCCTGGTGATTTCACTTCTTGATATTTATGATTTGTTTTTCCATATGTTTCTTAGAGGATGTAAACTTGACCCCAGGTGACCCACGTTGGATTGGAGCATGGTGGTTAGGTCTTCTCGTAGCTGCTGGTTGTTTGCTACTCTGTTCCATTCCTTATTTCTTCTTCCCTCGATATATGCTGAAAGGGAAAGTAAGTCTTAAATATTGAATTGGAGATGATCTTGCTAGATTGCCATGGTCAAAGAGTCCTGTCCATAATGGAATATAGCATGTTACATAAGAGGGGGAAAAAACCTATTTACTTCCACTTTGTGCGGTGAGAAGTGATTATTTTGTTGTCCTAGATTAGCCATTTTTAAAAATTATAAACTCTTTCTTTTTTTACTCTCCTGAAACTGCCACTGGTTATTTTAATATATGAATTAAATTTATAGACAAACATCTTGATATACAGTACATAATCAAAACAATAGATCCAGATATAATGAAAAGATAAAAATGATACCACATCTTAATAAAGCCATGTAGGATTTTATAAGTAAAACAAATGCTTTTATTTTGACATGGTAGGCAACTGGAAGCCAATGCATCCAATTCCACCAGGAGATTTCCAACATAAGCTTGGATACTGCATTTTAGGCATGCTACAGTTTCAGTAACTCTTTGTCCGTCTATATTCTATGACCTTCCAAACGAACTTCTGTTTTCTTACATAAAAAAAGCTTTATTGCATCTGTGAGTTCATTCATTAATCTTTTTCCATCACATTTATCTTTTACTTTCTGCTACTCACTCCTTAACAGTCCTTCCTACCATCTCAGATTTTCAAGAAGAATACCAAAAATGTGGTAATATTTTATAACAGAGCCTGGAAAAAAATTCACTGGGCTCCCAGCAGTGATTTTTTTTAAAAAATTATTTTCCATCAGGAAGCATCTGAAGCAGATATCCTGAAGAAGATTGAGAAAGCAAAGGAAGAAGAAGAGTCCCTGATGGTTTTTATCAAAAGTAAAGTGATTTTAATAAAAGTGTATTTCCAGTAAAAGTAAATGGTTGTTTTGGTAAATAATTAAACCTATTTAGGAAAAAAATATTTCTTAATATCTATGACAGTAACCATCCTGTTAATATTTGCAAGTTCAATATGGATTTATTGTTTGGATATTTCAAATCAACCCATACCAGATTTCATTTAATTTTTGCAGCAATACTGAAAAGCAGGGTAACTAAAAATAGCTATTTATTTCTTACTCACTCTGTTATGGTTTGAGTTAGCCATCTAATGACCTATCTTTCGGTGTTTTTAGATGACATTATAATAGCTGGCCTAGCTGGTAGAGGTATTTTCAAATTCTACTCCAAGAGACAATAGATATTCCACACTGTTTGAAATATGATTGAAAAATCATATTCTAATAATCGTTTAGGCATACTGTATAGTAATCTTAGAAAATAGTTCACTAGTTCCAACTGATGGCTAACTCAACTGTTTGACACATATCTACTAATAGGTTTTTTTTTTCAAAATACACAGATGACCACTAGATAGAAACCAAGAGATATAAATAACTCTAATCCATTGATGCTACTAAGTGGTCAGTAGGTTGAATATATAGTTTCATGGATGAAGAAAAGTTCAATTTGTCAATAGAAAAGAAGAAAAATCAGTGCATGGAGAAACTAGAGCATTGTGAATCAATTGGAAGAAGATTTTTGGCTAATTAATTATATTGGGCAGGGCTGGAATTTCAAACAGAGAAACCACCAATCATAGCCCTTAGAATTTTTGCATCTGTCTATTTTGGGAGTACAATTAAGGGCCAATGCAGCAAGCCTCAGGAGATGTCAGCAAAATTTAGCATAGTATAATAACCTGATGGCTCTGGGATAGGATGGGGGCATATCAGAGTAGCTGTGTGAATGTAGCCATGACTTTTCATAATGTACAAGGTAGTCCTCGACTTACAACCACAACTGAGCCCAAGATTTCTGTTTGTAAGCAAGACAGTCATTAAGTGAGTTTTGTCCCATTTTATGACCTTTCTTGCCACAGTTGTTAAATGAACCACTGTACTTGTTAAGTTAGTATTGTTGTTAAGTGAATCTGCTTTCCCCATTGACTTTGCTTGTCAGGTCGCAAAAGGTGATCACATGATCCCTGGGACACTGCAATCGCCATGAAGAGGAATCAGATGCAAACATCTGAATTTTGATCACATGATCATGGGGATAGTGCCACAATCATAAATGTGAAAAATGGTCATAAGTTACTTTTTCAAGTGCCACTGTAACTTCAAATGGTCATTAAATGAACTGTTGTAAGTCAAGGACGACCTGTATAAGATAAATCTAATCGAGCTAGCTTGGCATACTAAGGAATAAGACTTTAAACCGGGAGACTTTGAATTCTAGTCCCAGTTTTGGCATAAAGCCAATCCTAGGAAGGTAGTAATGGCAAATCACATGTCCAGGAAGTCTCCAAGAATCAGATTGAATTGAATGATTGAATGGAAACAAAAAGTTTAATCTGAAAACTTTCCATACCACATGCGAGTTTGAAGTTTCTGCTGAGATGTAGAGAACTAATCTTATAGATTACTTTATAACCTTGGTTCCTTCTTCCCATCTGATGCTTGCTTTCTAAAAGTAATTTTATACTTTGTTGATATTGATTTGTTGACTTTTGCTAGATGAGCATAGAGAAAAGTTCACAAGATAGAGGAATATAGCTCTGAATGAGCTGTATGTGCTTTAACAGTTTGAGGATTGTAGACTTAAATCTCTTAAGCTTCCATTCAGAGCTATCTCTGAACATAAGACAGTGAAAGTATGAGTAAATGTTATCTGTGTTATTTATCTTATATACTTCTTTTGAACTATTGTGAGATGGAGGGATAAGAAAAGGAAAAAAAGATTCTAAAGAGCTCTCGTCTTTTTTTTTCCATGAGCATTTTAGTAGAAAGCAATTAAAGCCTAAATCAATCAAGCCTGGTCTTCCCCAGTCTAGTGGTTTCCAGATATGTTGAACTGCAACCCTACATTTCACATAGTTAAATAAATCTGGAGAATATCAGATAGAGGAACCATAGTCTAGGAAAGCATCAGCATCTTTAAGAATAGATGCCTAGTAGACTTATCTTAAGAATTGGTCTTCTTATTGCAACTGACATCTTTAATAAAATGCTACAATAATACTTTGGGTGTACCCATGCCCTGAAGCCCTTTCCTTTCTGATCTTCACACACTTCTATTTTTATTTTCAGAGTTCCCACAAGGCTTCTTAAGACTGCTCCTCAATCCACTCTTCATGTTGTTGGTCTTGACGCAATGCAGCTTCTCCTCTATTCTTGCTGGTCTCGCTACCTTCCTCAACAAGTACCTGGAAAAACAATTTGGTGCTACCTCCTCTTATGCTAATTTCCTCATTGGTGAGAAAACTAGAGCAACCCATCCAATTTGAGCTAGTGGCTGAGGCTTTCTGAGAACAAAGCACTGACTACTTAAACAGAGTGTTTAGCTACGTTCTTCATATTCATTTCATCCGGTAATGCACCAGAAAGCAACCACACTATTGAGATTGAAGATCTAATCTGTGAAATTGGAAGGCATAGAATAATTAGCAAATAATCTGTGGGTTGCCAACAGTGTGCCACCAAATATCTGTTAACAAATATGTGTTAACAACACTAAATTGAGGGCAATGAAAATTAGAATTCACCAAGAATGTTGCTCTCATTGCACCTGCAGTATAGTGGCTGCAGGTGACCATTTCTACACATTCTAGTTGTTAATCCATCCAAATTCTTCCTTTTATATTTATATTTGTTATTTTTTTTAAGATATAGTGGCTGTGTAACTCCTCCTTTAAAGCCTTTATTGCTGTCTTAAATAGTTAAGAGGCACATTGATTTTCAGGGGTAGTCAACCTTGGCTCTTTTATGACTCGTGGACTTCAACTCCCAGAATTCCTGAGCCAGCACAGCTGGCTCAGGAATTCTGGGAGTTAAAGTCCACGAGTCATAAAAGAGCTAAGGTTGACTACCCCTGATTTAAATGGATGAAATACCTCAATATCAGTAAAAGAAAATATTTGTAGCTCAGGGTTGAAATGAGGGATCTTTGTTACTAGCTGCTAGTTTGGTTAATGAAACACCTGCAAGAAAACAACCAAGCTCAGAAAGCACCAAACCCAACATCCCTATGATAAATTAAATGCCCTTCTATACAGCAAATAGATACAGTACTGTATTGGAGGTTAGAGCCTAGGGCGCGCTTGCTGTTGCTGTTACTGTGAAAAAAATAATTGGCTCAGTAGTGCTTTTCTTTTGCCACTAGCAGTAGTGAAGTAGGCCTCTCGATGACAGGAGCATGTTCACTGTTTTCCCTATTAACTGAGAATATTATGTTGGAAGGAGACAATGTCATTTTTTCCCCCTTGGCTCTGGGATGGTAAATAGAATCACAGTATTCTCTGCAAAAGAATTGCCTGTGTTTGCAGTTGCCTTTCCTGTAGAAATCGCCTGCCTTTTGCTGGATGTTCAGTGTGCAAGATGCAGGATTCCTTCAGTTTTATATGCAAAAAAAAAAATTGCCAGTAGGAATTTCAAAGTGCAATAGCTAGGAAACGAAACTGATTATCCGATCCTCACAGTAAAAATGAAGACATATTTTACTATGCAAAAAGAACATGCAATCCTGTCTGTACCAATTTTAAGACTGATTCCATCCTGTTTCCATCAAGAGATTTTTTTTTTCTTTAGTTGTGTAGCACTGTTTCCAATTGTTAAGGATTTGTAACTCTCCTCAACCCTTTCCTTTCCTTTGTAGGATCTGTGAATTTGCCTTCAGCTGCACTAGGGATGCTCTTTGGAGGGTTCATCATGAAACGTTTTGCTTTCTCACTCAAAACCATTCCACGTTTCACCATTGTGGTGTTACTTTTCTCCACCCTTTGCTATCTTCCTCTCTTCTTTATGGGCTGCTCTTCACAGACCGTGGCTGGAATTCACCTGTCCAGGTAACATGCTCTACTCTTCCGGCAGCACTCTGTGGCAACTAGGACATAGTGCTATAAAATCACGGCACAGAGATTTCTCTTTATTTTGTTTTGACAATTTCTTCCTGTCCCAGTCTTCAGATTTCTATTTAATTTTTTATTTATTTAATTTGTTCAATTTTTTTTTTACTTTATTCTGCCTTATCTAACAAATATGGCAAATGAGTGTGGCGATGAAATCCAAAATGGGTTCTTTAGCCAGTGTCTTGTTGTGGTTTTATTGTTTTTGCTATTCTGACTTATGCTGGCTTGTGCAGTTTACATTTTGCTGAATCATTTTGTGCAGGGATATCACTAAAACTATCTCCTTTGTTTTCCAATGATGCTTGTGTATCTCCTTGCTGCATGTTATGGGACTGTATCACTGGCACTGTATGATATTTGGGATGAACTCTTCTCCATAGACTACTCATAATTAAGTTATGGAATTAGGTGGAATTGCCACTATTTTAGATGGCTTTATCTTAAGTAGAGGGAAATGATAGCTACAATTGTCAGTTATGATGGCTAAGTTTGTCTTCCCAATTCCAGGACATGAATTAATGCATATTGCTTTGAGATAACCAGCAAGAGAGTTGGTGTCCATGCTCTGCCTTTGAATATCCTAGTATTATTNCAATTGCCAAGCATCCGAATGTTGGGGGTGCTGCAATAGTCGTATGAAAAATGGTCAGGTCATTTTTTTCAGTCCCATTGTAATTTTGAACAGTCCCTGAACAAATGGTTGTAAATCAAGGACTACCTGTATCAGTTTTCACTAACCCATTCAAGAACTTGAGCATAGAGAAGCTAAAATGATGGAAGTCTTATTCATTCCAAGGATTATAAGTTCTTTCCCAGAAAGGTTTTGAGAAAATCGCACTATTTAGTAAGCTTTTCCTGTGATGTTTTTGAAAGATGAAAGCTTACTGATAAAATACGTGATCTGTGCTTAGAATGAAAGTGGCTCCAGTCTTAGTCCTCGAAAAAGCTTATGTAATGCATTCCATTGATTCATAATGTTAAATTGTCATTGGTCAGGAGTTCATAATTTGGGGGAATGAAGGGTCCAATTCAAAAAGAGAATTGTAAGAATGTGATCTTGCCTTGAGAATGTACTTTTGCCTTAAGAAGCTTTTCCATTTTAATTACAGTATCATTTTGACATTTCCCCCCTTGGTTTCCACTTGATTTCTACTGATAGGCTTATATCAGATAGATTATTTCAGGAATCAAATTATTTTCTCCCCAAATTATCTGCACATGTTTGTATGTCTAATGATTGTGTATGATTTAACTAAACACCATTAGCAATACCTTCAGAAGGCAATAGGCCAAGGTTCAAGATGGCAAAAACCCAACAATAATAGGCTGGAATCACCAGCCCACTCAAGAAAACACATTTCACTCATTGGTTCCATGTTATTTTGTCTCCTTTTTTTCTGGCAGTACATCAAGTTCCCCAGAACAGGATCCATGTAACCTTCGCTGCTCCTGCTCAAAGTATCTCTTCCATCCAGTCTGCGGAGATGATGGTGTGGAGTACCTCTCTCCCTGTCACGCTGGCTGTAGTGGTTTCTTCTCTAATTCTTCAGTCTCTGGAATTGTAAGAGGTTAAGGATGCAGAGTGGCTCTATTGGATTATTTATGGGATTCAAATCTATCTAGCACTCATCACGGAGACAGGGTGGGACTAAGGCCAAATCACTCTTAGATAAGGAAACCAAGTGCTTTCTCCTTAATGATAGTGTTTAGAGCAGGATTCATTACTGAAAATATGTGCTTTTCATGCAGAGAATCTCAGTTTTAATTTTGATTATTTTAATTAAATATACTTCTCAAGAAAAAAATTGAAGAAATATTGTTCTTCAACATAAATAATAAAAAATACATGGATTGGCAATACAACACATAAGATAGCTTTACTAATTTATTTATTTATTTATTTATTTATTTTATTTAATTTATATGCCACCCTTCTCCCGACAGGGACTCAGGGCGGCGCACAACATATTTAAAACCAGAACATATATACAATCCCCCCCTTAAAACCGAATTAAACCGAATTTTAATGTTGCGTCTTCCGAATATTTAAAACCCAATGTAAAATCCACCCTAGGTCAGGTCCGCTTGCTGGAAGAGCCATGTCTTGAGGGCGCGACGGAAGGTAAGG